CTTTTTTTGGTTGCTTGGGGATTGATGAGGGTGATGGTGATGAGAGTGATGATCGATGATGATGGGATGATGAAGATTGGAGTCTAAGGGGGGGGCTTGCAGCTAGTTTTTTTGCCGAACCCTGCTCTTGGTTTCATAGAGCTGGGTTCGTGAAGAACCCAGTTTGAGGAACCCAGTTTGTACCTTTCTTTCACCTTTCTTTTTTGTGATTATTTCTGGTTATGATAGAATAATAAGATGATGATTTGATTCTTTGATTGGTTCTCAACTTTTCTTGCAAATGAATTAAAAGATTGTTCTTTTTTCTTTTTTTTTTTCAATTTGAATCAACCTCCATTAGAACCATGGGTGGAAAGCTCGAGGAAGATTAAGAAAGGGATGAAAATAAACCCTAAATTCCCAAAATTGTTATGCAAATCTATTTTAAAAGTTCCATATGAAGTGGGCTTACTATACACGTGGCGTCCACGTGTGTAAAATAAGCCACATTATTAAAAAAAAAAAAGATCTACATTGGATTACTAGCAGTATATAGTGCCATGTAGTGCATTTTGTAATGATACCGTTACGGCATGTTAAAATGTTGGGTTTTTCACAGGTTTTGAAAAGTTGAGAATATGAATAGGTAAGAAAAATTTTAAAAGATGTTGACCGCGGAAAACAATTAAGTGTAGAGTGCAAATAGCCCCTTTGACCAATATAATTTAATTAAACTGTCTTAAAAATTTCATGTATGTAAAATGAGTTAAGTAAATAAATAGGAAAAATGCTCTCCATATATACAATTAAAAAATGATAAAAAAAAATAAAAAACACAGCTAAACACTTTTTTATTTTTTATATTTAATAATAAACTATATAAGAAATAATCCCTCTTCTTTTTTTAATATCCCTCCTTTGTAACTTCAGAAAAAGATTTTTTTTTTTTTTTTACGAAGGCAATCATAGGGGAAAAGTATAAATGGGTCAACTGATGAGTTAGAGATGCATTAATAATTTATAAATTAAATATAAATATTTAAATAATTAATGAAATTCAAACCAGCTACCAACGGTATTCAAATACTGAAATTCGGAAACAAAACCATTAAATGCACCGCAGGGCCCTACACACTTTCGATTATGCAGATCTTTCCTTGGCTAAAAATTTTTTTTTTCTTTTATGTTTGTTGGTTTAAATAAAAATTTTTGATTTTTTTAAATAAAATTTAAATTTTAAATTTTATGAATAAAAAAATAAATATGGAGGAAA